ATTATTATTATTATTATTATTATGAAATAACACTGAGTTCTTATTTTGAAAAGCAACAGGAAAAATTAAAATCCTGTATTCACTGTACATTGTGTGTATTTACCTTAACTTACAGTTTTTGGTGTGTTTTTTAACCCTACACCTGAATTTCAGTCACACAGTTGTGTTTTAAATCATACGTGTATTTCACATGTCACAGATGTTTCATTTATTGCCTGTGTATTTTAATCATACAGGTGCATCTTTAACCTTACATGTGATTTATATCGGACTGGTGATCTTTAACTGTGCAAGTGTTTTTGTTTTCTTACATGAGTACTTAAAAATTGTACCAATACAATTTAAATACAGGTATATTTTTAAATCATACAGGTGTATTTTCAAAAGTGCAAATCTATTTTCGATTATAGCGGTGCATTTTTATCGTGCAGGTGCCTTTTAAATCATACAGGTGCATTTATATACCGTGCAGGTCTATTTTTGATCGTACAGGTGCATTTTAAATCGTACAGGCGCATTTTTTTACGTACAGGTCTATTTTTGATTGTGCAGGTGTATTTTACGTGCAGGTCTATTTCAAAATCGTACAGGTGCATTTTAATCGTGCAGGTGCCTTTTAAATCATACAGGTGCCTTTTAAATCATACAGGTGCATTTTTTTACGTACAGGTCTATTTTTGATTGTGCAGGTGCCCTTTTTATCATGCAGGTGCCTTTTTATCGTGCAGGTGTCTTTTTATCGTGCAGGTGTCTTTTAAATCGTACAGGTGCATTTTAAATCGTACAGACGCATTTTTTTTACGTACAGGTCTATTTTTGATTGTGCAGGTGCCCTTTTTATCATGCAGGTGCCTTTTTATCGTGCAGGTGTCTTTTAAATCGTACAGGTGCATTTTAAATCGTACAGACGCATTTTTTTTACGTACAGGTCTATTTTTGATCGTGCAGGTGTATTTTACGTGCAGGTCTATTTTTGATCGTGCAGGTGTATTTTACGTGCAGGTCTATTTTTGATCGTGCAGGTGCATTTTAAACTGGTAATGTTTGGTACAGTTGTATTTTAAATGGTACAGATGTGTGTTTGATAAAGGAGTACATTTGGTACAAGTGTGTGTTTGGTACAAGTGTGTGTTTGGTACAGGTGTGTGTTTGGTACAGGTGTATTTCACATGGTGCAGGTATACGTTCCTCACCCACCTTGAGGTCGACCCAGGCCTCCAGCTCCCGGCGGCTGTTGAACCGACACAGCACACCTGAGCTGGTGATGCAGTAGGTGTTAGATGCCATGGGGCCACGCCCACACGCCACCCCGCTGAACAAGTTGTCTTTAAAGTCGCCTAATAATGCTGACCGTCCAATCAGTGGCACCGTGCTGTTCACCTGGACACAGGGAGAAAATGATTAAACTCAGACGACAGTAAACTGAGCTGTGATTGGCTGATAGGAGGTCAGGGTGGTACCCGTCGTTCTTTGGAGGCGTCCAGGTACCAGAATTTGACATGTCTGTTTCCTGCGGTGACAAAGTAGCTGTTGTCCTGAGAGAGGGAGACAGCCAAGACTCTGCTGGACACTTTGTTGAACGCGATGATGGAACCTTTCTGCTCAAAGACACGGAGACACAGAGACAAGACGGACAAAACGCCATCAGGACGTTTTAGTTATTTACCCAGAGGACACGTGGACAAGTTCAGGCACTTTAAATCTGTGCGTCCTCACCCTCCAGTCCCACACACTGACGGTCATGTCGTGTTGGTATCCCACGGAGACGATGTAGCTGCTGTTGGCAGAGAACGCCACGCAGGAAACGCCGTATTTATGAGACTGAACCTCGGCCACCTGACCCCCGTCCACCTCCCACACCCGCACACAGGGCATGTGACCACTCTGAAACACACACACACACACACACACACACACACACACCTGTCCTTCACCTGTCCATCACCTGGTGTCCACACAGACACAACAGACACAGGTGTCTCTTACCTCGCCAGTGACCAGGTGTTTCCCGTCATGAGAGAAGGACAGAGCGCTGAAGGGCTTCCTGGAAGACAGACAGACACCGTTTGAGGACCAGTCTGCATGTCCCAGTAACACCAGTACGTCTACTGTGTCTCCTTACTGTCCTCTGCAGTGTCTCCTTACTGACAGACTCACCTGGACGTGTTGACGATGTGTCTCTGTTTGTTGGTCTTCGGGTGAAGCAGGACGATGACACACCTGAGACACAAACAGTCCATTCAGGTCATAGCACAGTTATGTTCTTTATGTTCCGTCCAGGTGAGTCAGAGGGGGCGGGGCTTACCCTGCAGGATATGCGATGAGCCCAGACCTGGGGTCAGAGGTCAGGCCGCTGCTGCTGGCTGTGCTGATCCCCAGAACCTTCTCCAGACACACCTGAAACATCAGACACAGACCTGACACTGTAACAGACGCTGAAATGACACGGTTCATTTATCAGACAGATCTGTCAACAACAAACAGGTGACATCATCAAACATCGATGTTCAGAGTCCAGTCTTCTGTTTGGAGTACGGTGAACTCATTGTCATGTTTGAGATGATGTGAGCTTTGTGACATGGTGCGTTATCCTGCTGGAAGTAGCCATCAGAAGATGGGTACACTGTGGTCATAAAGGGATGGACACGCTCAGCAACAATACTCAGGTAGGCTGTGGTGTTTAAACCATGCTCAGTTGGTACTAAGAAAATCTCCCCCACACCATTACACCACCAGCAGCAGCAGCCTGAAGCGTTGATACAAGGCAGGATGGATCCATGCTTCCATCTGAATGTGGTTTTTCCAATCTTCTATTGTCCAGTTTTGGTGAATTGTAGCCTCAGTTTCCTGTTGTTAGCTGACAGGAGTGGCACCTGGTGTGGTCTTCTGCTGCTGTAGCCCATCTGCTTCAAGGTTGGACAAGGTGTTGTTGCTTCAGAGATGCTCTTCTGCACACCTTGGTTGGAACCAGTGCTTATTTGACTTCCTGTTGCCTTTCTATCATCTTGAACCAGTCTGGCCATTCTCCTCTGACCTCTGGCATCAACAAGGCATTTTGGCTCACTGGATATTTTCTCTTTTTGGGACCATCCTCTGTAAACCCTAGAGATGGTTGTGCTGAAAATCCCAGTAAATCCTCAGACCAGCCCGTCTGGCACCAACAACCATGCCACGTTCAAAGTCACTTAAATCACCTTTCTTCATCATTCTGATGCTCCGTTTGAACTTCAGCAGCTCGTCTTCACCATGTCTACATGACTAAATGTTAATGAGCTGCTGACACCTGATTGGCTGATTAGATATTTGTGTTAACGAGCAGTTTGTGTAATGTGCCACAATGTTAACAGTAGTGTGTTAAATATAAAAAATATGAAACGTGTTTAATGTGCCTTTGGCCACAACAGTGTCGTGTGTACGATAGAAATATAAAAACATGTATAGAGTTAGAATATACGACACACTACAAACATGACGATGAGTTCACTCTACTCCAACGGCCTCCAGTCACCAGATCTCAGTCCAATAGATCAGTGGTTCTCAAACAGTGTGCTGTGGGATTTTGTGATAACTGCACATTACTATTATTACCATATTAGACTGGGCCTGTACAAAGTTATGAGTGAATTTACTTTATCAGTATGTTGTGCACACATTTCCTAATAAAGAGGCAAACTCAGGTAGATGAGATTGTGTCTAGTGTGAGGGATGATTCGTTTAAAAGCAGAAAGCCGTGAGCAGGACGGTGCTTTCAGTTACTGTACGAAGCAAAACACCAAGACGACGAGCTCCCTCTGAGAGACAAAGACAAACTGTCAGGAGACAAAGTCATGAAGCTACCTGTCTGATTTTGTCTTATCTTTATTGTCTCATGTTTTTCTGAGACTGATGACACGTTATTGTGCACAGATATAAATACAGGTGAGTGTTGGACACAAGTTTGAGCACCACAGGTACGGAGCACCTTTGGGAGATTCTGGGTACTTTATTTTTTCCATACATATGATTTAGTACTCTTTACATCATCAAACTATCACTGAAGTATGTCTGATTCACAAAGTGTGAGTGAGCATTGTAATATTTTCATTAATCAACAAAAAGGATTTTTAAGTGTTTATTAAATAATCGTGTATTTAATAAACACAAAGTGATGTAACTTAGTGTATCTACGAGCTTTTCTCATCAGTGTGGATCCTTCACACTGATGAGAAAAGAGCAGAAACATTTATTGTGTCTATATATTTTTTACTGAAGATGTGATTTTAAACGTGTCATTAAATTGCTCGGTAACAGTTTTCGGTGACACACCGGTGGCCTCCTGCCTCAGTGTCCCAACGGTACCGTTAGCATGTTGCTATAAAAAGTTAGCTCACAAACTAACGTCATAACGGTTTTTATTTAAAAATGAAAACATCTGCAAAGCTGAGTTTTATTAACTCTTTGAGTTTTTATATTCTCACACTTTGGTCTCAGTTCGTCTTTAAACTTGTCTCGAAACTTTAGCTAACGGCTCCGTGAAGCTAACTGTTAGCTCACGGTTAGCTCAGACTGTCGTTACCCGGCTGCTGCAGCTCCTCTTCGGCTGGCTCTGTCGGCTCTTCGTCCCCGCTGCTGGCTTCCTCTTCGCGGCGTCAGCTCCCTCCGCCATGCTGACACCCGCCTCACTTTCACCGTAACACCAGAGAGATGGAGGCTACACACCGCGGTGTGGGCGCATCACAGCCCGCAGAAGTGAACAAGGAGCCCGTCACTGCGGTCAACAACTCCCCGCCGCTGTTGTTGTTGATGATGATGATGATGATGATGATGATGGACGATTAGCTTAGCTTCATGCTAAGTTAACTAACTAAAGGAAACCTGACACCTGACTTATATACGGCGGGATTCTGGTTCAAACTCAGCCGCGCCTACTACTCACCAACCAACCAATGGACAGCCGAGGGCCCGCCCTCTGCCCCAAAACAACCAATGAGCAGACGAGAAGAAAAAATAACCCGCCCACTGTCCGCTAACCAACCAATCAGTTTCCGTATCAGTGACTCTTTGTGACCCAGTGTTTCAAACGGTATTTGTATTATTGATATTAGTAAAATAAAAAATATAACATCAATAATGTAACTAAAAAAATCATAATAATTTATATTAATTTCTTAAAAATATAAAAAAAATACATCATTTATGGCAAATAAGGTATTTGTGTAATAATAATAATAATAAACAATTATATCATTTCTTTAAATTAATAAACCTTACATAGTTAATATTCATCTTATTAACTATATAAGGTTCATTTATAATAATAATAACAGACAAATGTCTCATGTAAAATATTATAAATAATCAATGATGGACTGTAACTAAGTACATTTACTCAAATACTGTATTTACCATAGGTGCTGTATTTAAAAAAAAAAAATCTTTTTAAGAACTTAAATATTATTATTATTTGTTACGTAGTAATATCATAGTGACACCATATAAAAACAATGAAAAAAGTCAAGACAGATACAACTGGAAAAGAAATTAGAAAAAAAAATAAAAGAAGTGGCTCCATTAATATCAGCTTCTAGGAAATAATTTTAAACTGTTAACTGATGAATTGCAGTCGCAGGACAGAGATATTATCCTGACACAGACAGACAGATAGACAGGAACAGTTTTAAGGTACTTTACTTATGTACTTTTATTGTATCCTGCTTTACAACTCGTCTTCTTTGATGAACTGAAGGCTTTAAAATCATGTCTAGTTTCCTGAGCAGAGACCGTGGACGTTAGGACAGATACTAAATCTGCTGCACTAAATATTAAGTATTTGCATGTTTAATACAAACAGCTCAGGGCGGCTACGTGCAAACGCTCCGAGGTCACCAGGTACGTTCAGAGGTGAGACCAAGTCATTGTCTTCTAAGTCACAAGTTTTTACTCAAGTCCCAAGTCAAGAGTGTCGAGTCCTTAATAAGTCATAATGACGCTCTTCACTTGGTTTAAAAACATTTTCACAACAGAATAATAATATATGAAATTTACAAAAATCATGAGGGATTTTAAAAACTTATATTTATTTGTTGCGTCTCCATCTGTAACCTTCGACCTGCACGTTTTACAGTCTGCTGCTGTCTGATTGGTTCAACATGGAGAATCATTCAATAACATGGAGTTCTTCAGGGACACGTCCTGGGGCGTTTTTGTTTCTAATAAATCTAATTTAAAGGAACAGTCCAACATTTAGTACATAATCTCGTTCTCTGTATCTAATAGTGTCGACTTGCTGGAAATCAATTGTGTTGATGTTAGCTGGTTCAGGAAATTAAATTAAATCACTTCATCTGTGGCACACTTTTTAAATAACGTACTGTTTGGAAATCAAAAGGCTCAAGTCCAACTGAGTCATTGGTGTTGTAGTTCTAGCTGAGTTTTTTTTTATTTTGTCGGATCTAAAGTCGGCAAATTTGTGATAGGAATATGACTGTAGTCCGAGTCATGTTACTCCTGTCCACACTTCTGCGTACATTACACCGTCATCAGTGAACAGAGCATTGGTTTATGGATATGTTTGTGTGATACTGAAAAAAAATCACTTCACAAAGTATCTGAGCTGTGATTAAAGTGATTAAAGTTAAAACTCGTAATAAGCCTTAACACCACTGCACTACAGAAACAAACACAACTGATGCTAGCACGTTAGCTTCCAGTTGGTCTCAGTGGAGGAAGCTAACAATGCTAACAGATACCTGAAGAAGAGAACAGGATCAGTTCAGACACATAAAACTCTGACAGCGCAGTGATTATGACGTCATTCATTTTTATTGTAGCAGAGGAATCAAAGTGCAGCGTAGCTTCATGTACCACAGCTGAGTTGCCATGATGCCACTGTACGAGCAGAAGGCAATGGTTACATATGAAATAAATGTGATCCCAGAATGGCTGTATAAACCAACCATCATTCGAAAATCTAAAAAATTCACAAAGAAAAAAAAAATCATCCTAAATGACCTCAGGAGAGCAACAACAAAGAAGGACAATTCTCTCTCCAGAACAACTTCCTCTTCAACCAAAACAAATTAACTAAAGAAGAAGTTCAAAATGTTTCAGCGTCAACAGATTAGTGCAATCAGAGTCAACAACAAGACACAAAGTCAACTTCAAACCAAAGAGTTCAACTGCTGAAGCTTCTGTTCAACCACAAACACACAGAGTCTGCTGGTAAGAATTCATCAGTCAACTTGTTCTTCAATAACGTGGAGTTCCTCAGGGACATGTCCTCGGGCCTCTGATGTTTCTAATAAATCTGATTTAAAAAACATTTTAAATCATCTTGTTTTCTGTCTTTAATAATGTGGAGCTACTCAGGAAGGTGTCCTGGGGCCTCTGTTGTTTCTATTAAATAAGATTTAAAGGAACAATCCAATACCTACTAAACCATCTCGTTCTATAGCTGTGTCTCAGTTCAGACACTGCAACCTTTGAAGGATGTCCTTTGAAGACCACATCAGCCAAACCAAACAGTCTCCGAAATGGGACAGTCTGGTCTGCGGAGGATTTCCCGGTTGCATCACCAGTTGTTCTCGTCCCGACCAATTGGCATTACTGTTAGCTAGCAACCAGCTGCACGAAAGAAGGAATAAGCTAGTAGGGTAGTTAGCCCTAAATCTTGTTATTATACATATTATTTCATTCAGTCCTTGAGGAGATCATTCACCACCGGAAACGCTGACATCTGATATATTTCAGGCTGATGGAGCGTTTTAACTTATTAAATTCAAATTGTTTAAGCTGTGTGCTTTTAGCTAACAGTAATGTTAACAACCGTTAACCGTTAGCTAGTTAACAACTGTTAGCTTAACTTAATATGTAATTGTCACCAGCACACAATGCATCTTGGGATAGGCTGGGCCACGAAAGATTCAACCGTTGCATCCTCCAAATTCTGGGAAAAAAGGCTGCATTTCTCGGCCACACTTGAAGGAGCTTTGGAAATGGGACGGCCTTGGTTGCGCCGTTGTGACGCAATCAGTCTTCAAATGTAGCCTTCGAAGGCTGCAGCCCCTGAACTGAGACACAGCTGTTGTCTTAAATGGGAATAATATAAAAGAGTCCTTCAGGGACGTGTCCTGGGGCCTTTTTTGTTTCTATTAAATCTGATTTAAAGGGACAGTCCCACATTTAGTTAATCATCTTGTTCTTTGTCTTTGATGACATCCGGCGTTCCTCAGGGAAGTATCCTGGGGCCGCTGTTGTTTCTATTAAATCTATTTTAAAAAAACAATCCAACGTTTACTAAAACATCTTGTTCTTTGTCTTTTCGAGACTCAGGTGAGAAGATGGAGATCCAGTGCAGTGACAGGCCCATTGCTTTTATGCAACTTGTCTCCCTTTGTACTTTATTGCCCTAAATTTAGTTGCATTGCTGAGTCTAACGCTGGAATCATTCCTGATAAACAGTACCTTTTTACCTTTTAAACTACAAATATAAAATCCCTCAAGGTCCCTAAACACCTTAAATTCCCAGAGAAAATAGAGAGGAAATTACCTCACAGGAAGCTACAGTCAAGCTGGTCCAGGGTTAGCTTAGCTAATCAAGACTGTGAGCAGTGGGAAAATGCTAGCCTAGCTTAGCACAAAGTAAAAACATCTATGTATGGTTGTTGAGGCTGTTTGGTCCTTGCCATGTCATTGATCCTTGTCCAGCAGGTTTGGGTCCAGTGCCGTACATGATGGTGAGCACTTCCTGTCTCTGCTGCCCCCTGGTGGTAGTCAGTTTGACGTACAAGAGGAGGTTAGCGCCAGCAGACAGCTGACTCTAGAATATGGTATGTGTCAGGATGTCATCTTTGATATGTGAGATGGGATTTAAACCCTTAAACTCTGTAAATTTAAGATGCTCAGCGGCAGTTTAAATCCTTTCTACGTGAGCCTGTAATTTATAAATAAGTTCTCGGTGACTTTCAGGAAGTAATCTGGTGCCAGTTAGAACTCAAAATGATAAGTCAGTTAATCGATCAACAGGAAATTAATTCTGATAAATAACTGTTGGATCAAAACTGTGCATGTTTGCTGATTTTGTTCTCCAGTAATAAACTCAATATTTTCAGGGTTTTGAATTTAAACTTTGACGGCGTCACCTCAGATTCTTTTTTCAGACCAAATTAATTGAAAAAATAAACTTCAGAAAAAATAAACTTCAGATTTACTGATAACGAATCGACCTGTCAGCCGCAGCCTTTGAGCGAACTGTAGGAAAAAGAATACTATCAGACATTTTATTCTCCACAGGTTAAACTGTTTGTCTGTAGTCACATTTCACATTTTTCACATTGAGCTGATTTTTGTTATTTAGAATGGATTAATCTGAGTGTCTAAATGTGATACCGCCATTATGACTATATCAGGAAAGCGTTTTGAGATTCATCAGGAAACGACAGGCGTGTAAATCAAAGTAAGGATGCACGATACTGGAGTTTTTTGCTGATATCCAACATATAACAACTAATTTGACTTTTAAGTGATAAGTGATATATCCTTTTTTTCCCCACCTAATGTGATCAAGTCTCTTCTGTATTGGAATTAAATATTATACATGCAGATCGTTATTGTGACGGCCCACCAGCAGATGGAGACATGAAATACTTTTCAAAGTATCAACAGGAAGGCGATCCAAAACAGTTTGTAAACTCCTGATGGAGGTCTGCAGTGGTCCAAACATGTCGGCTCTTTTCATGATTTAGCCACCACAATAAAGGCTTTTTAATATTTCCTGTTCTCCACAAGCACCCAACACAAGATTATGTATTTTTGTATAAACAGAGCAACCAGTCATCTCTCTTTATCTACTGCTCAGTGTATGTAATATTCATTCATTATGCATAATAAGAAAAATGTTGGCTGATTCTCATCAGGGCTGGGCCCTACGGACAAATATTCATATCTCTGTATTTTTTTAGGCTGACCAGCGACACATGATATATATCTCTGTATTTTCTACATGTTTTTAGCTGCAGGTCAGAGCCACATCTGAGACTTCAGTTACTTTTATAAAAACAGATTGTGATGAAAATAAAATACAAAGACAGGGATTATTTTCCTGTTTGAAAATAAACAGCTGCACAACATGTTCATGAAAAATTATATCACATAAACTGCAGGGCTGTACGTTAACTTTCTGCACACAGCACTGGAGCTGCAGAGGTTTGCTGCTGTCCCTGGTTTTATATGAGCAGAGGAAAAGTCTGCTAGCTGCTAGGCTAATTTATACAATGTAAAATGCCATAGGCTTGTGCTAATAACGTTAGCATGTTGTATTTGTGGGGAAAATGTGTCCAGATAAAGACAAGTGTTTGTCTGTGAATGCTGCGACTTATAGTGAAGCTGATTTGTGTTTGAAACTGTCTCTATTAAGCCATGTTTAATGTGTGTTTAATGTGTGTTTACTGTGTGTTTAATGTGTGTTTAATGTGTGTTTAATGAGTGTTTAATGAGTGTTTACTGTGTTCTAGAACTAGTGTGCTCACTGGTATGCGTTATGTAATGCAGCCTGACCCTCTGTCGATATAAACAGTGTCTTAATTAATATCCTGCTTGATAACAAATCAATATATTGTACACAGTCGTTATATCGCTCAGCCCTGGTTCTTGTAGTTGATTTTAAAGCCGTCACCGATGACGTACTGATTTTATCGTGCATCCCTAAATCAAAGTACTTCACATCATCACTCAACATTTTCCAAACTGTGTTAAACTTTTTGTCCTTGACATCAGAACCAGCAGTCGACATCTCAGCTGCTGGTTTTGGGGCTTAAGTGGTCAAAAGAAAGAAGAAGAAACGTCAAGTCGTTTTGTGTTAGACAGAGGCGTTTGGTTATTCTGCTGTTTGAGGCGGCCGCTGGTTTCCATTCATATCCATCCATCTGAGAATGTATCTGAAGACTGTCTGAGCCTTTTTTAAATATTAAAATTAGTTAAAAATTGTGTTTCTTTCTGGAATCAGTGACTGATGAGACGGTGTGTGTCTCCTGAGGACACAGTCGGAGCAGAGACGACAGAAACAACCTGAAACAGTTTGGAAAATGTAAAATGTGTCGCTCCAGTATTTGAAGAGTTTTTACTGGATGTCGGTGTAACGCAGAGGATCTGAGGGGAAACAGCAGCGTTCAGATCCATCAGGCATCTGAAGGTAAAGGTGTGACTGACAGGTGGAGCACCAATCACCTGAAGCTGGGGGCGGGGCTCAGTGTGTGTGTGTGTGTGTGTGTTATTATCCTGCTGATAATCTGATCTGAAGGCAGTTTAATGACCATGCTGATGTCCTGTTTCTGATTGGCTGCTGGTCTAAAGCAGCTTTAGTTTAGATTTAATACAGCGACGCCGCTGGGACGCAGACGGCTGCACAGGTTATGACATCACTGAGATATTTTTACAGTGTGAGCTCACTGCGGACTGTAAACAAAGCCGACTGTGACTAGAACACAGTCTGTGTGCTTTACACTGAGTTTAAGGCGACGTGGTGATGTAATGATCTTGGACCCGCCTCACCTGTCGAGGTAACGTTTCTCTTTGGTAGGTTCCCGCCCCCCCGCCCCTTCAGTGTTTCACCGCTGAGACGGCGTCCAGGGGACGAGCTGCTGAAGGCACAGAGGATTCCTGGTGGATGATTCAGAGATGTGGAGTCGGTCTGTACGTTCAGTGTTTGTGTTCAAACAGCAGCTCTGCAGGCCGACGCTCACAGAAGGTCACTTACATTCTTCATCTTATTTACACTAGAAAAATAAACACATCTGTGGAGGAGGTCCCTTCAGTTTGCACTTTATTGCTTTGGAGACAGTTGGTGCTGCAGAAGAAGAAGAAGAAGAAGAGTCATGGCTGTGACATTCAAAGCATTAACACAGCTGTAAGCCACTGATATTTACAGTGTAATTCAAAAGTTCGTGCCGCCTGGTCAACACTTCATTTACTGTGAATAGTTCAGAAGAAAACGAGCTGATCTCCAAAAGACATGAACTTAAAGGATAACTTCGGTATTTTTCAATCTGGGCCCTATTTCCCCATGTGTATGTGTGCGTATGATTCATAGGTACAGCTCGTTCTAAAATTGGTTCAGTATTGAGGGAGCCGCGAAACGAGCTAAAACAGTAACAGGGCAAATGCGTCCCGTATAAGTTTGCGCATTAAAAGTGCTTTTTTTTTCACCACTGACCGGTTCAGAACGCCAGTGCTATCTCTGTAAATAGCATAGTAAGCGTTTCCCTTATCTCTGGGCTGTGTGACGTCATCTCACGAGAGCTTTGCTTGTTGCCAGAAGAAAACAGAGGAGTCATGCAGAGCGCTGCTCAGAGTGGCGCTGGTTGTCCCGGAGTACAGTTGAGAGTTTTACTGCATCGATTGAAAACAATGGTTCGTGTTTGTGCTTATCCGAATTGCAAGAACAGGATGTCGCGCAACACCCCGTACAGCTTTCATAGGCTGCCTTTGTCGGACGGCGAGATGCTGAAGTTGTGGCTAGTTGTGCTACAAATGGATGCTAACACTCCTCTGCAGACACTGCGCCTTGCAGACCATCGGGTCTGCAGTGCTCACTTCTCCCAAGATGACTACTGCCAGCCGAAGAAGAGAAGACATCAATCCCGAAACACCTCTTCCTCAAGAAAACGACTGTCCCACGAGTAGAGAGAGCTACAGACACAGTGGAGGTAATGTTATATAAACAATGTTCAAAACGCTTAGTATGCTATCTACAGAGATAGAGACTGGCGATCTGAACCGGTCAGTGGCGAAAAAAAAGCACAAACTTATACGGGACGCATTTGCCCCCATATCTACCTCGCGGCTGCATCCACCTCTCTCAACACTGAACCAATTTTAGAACGAGTTGTACCTATGAATCATACGCATATATACACATGAGGAAATAGGGCCCAGGTTGAAAAATACTGAAGTTATCCTTTAAAGATGAAACATGCTTTTCCAAATCTTCGGCCAGATCAGTGTTTTATTTTTGTTTTTTTACAATCTCAGAGTGGAAAAAAACCTGCACACACACCTGCCCTGTTTGGTTCAGGTTTGTTTGCCCCCTCAGGCCCCGATCACAGACCAAGTGTTTCAACAGCTGGAGGCGTCTTTTTGTAACAGTTTTTTAATGAGATTGAAGCTATTCACTTGCTGTTTTGGCGTTGCCACGTGCCTCGTCTATCTGCGCTCTAGGCACCTGGCGCTTCTGCGCTCTGAACTGCTCGAGTTGAACGAACTAGTACTGAACTACTCACAGTAAACCTTTGACCGGGGGACCAAAACTTTTGCACAACACTGTAAAGATGTAGCACAGAATGACGTCACATGGCCTGTCAGGATAATCATCGACCTGTCATACGATACCTGGACATGACCGCGATCATTCTGCCAACAAATACCAGACTCAACCTACATCAGGTGAAAACTTTAAAAACCTGAGACAGCGCTACTTCTGGTGAGGACAGAAGTGATCAAATATGTGACGACCTTTTCGCCCCAAACCAAAATGTGACTGACAGTGAGAACATTTAAAACAGGAAGTGAGTCGTTTTGGTTGGACTGGAATCAGACGCAGGTGTGTGGCGGTGGTGTGGTTTACCCAGGTTCAGGACCGGAAGACGTGGACAGCTCGGACGACGTACTGGCGGCAGATGGGACATTCGCTCATCCTCTTGCCGCACTTGGTGCAGGTGATCATGTGACCACACTCCAACAGGACGCAGTCGATCGGAGAGTCCATACATATCTTACAGAGGTTCTCCTCCAAACCTGCAGGACGGCCACCGCCGGACTCTGGAAGGAGACACAGAGACGTACGGGGAGGCACTGTGAGAAACAACAGCTCATAAAGAACTAACTTTATGTCTGATTAATCTAAAACATGTTTCATCAATGAACCGTTTGGACTTTAGAACGTCAGAAAAGACTAAAAACAGGAAACAGGAAACTCACCTGCAGCGTTCACAGTGTTGGCAGCTGGAGGACAAACAGGAAGTGACATGTTTTCATTTGATTTCGATAAAACAAACTTTCTGCTCAATGTTCAACTTTTTATGCCCAATAATATGTTCTGCTGGTCCTGTGACTGACCCTGGATCCACCAGTGGGTTCAGCTGGTCCTGGGACTAACCCTAAACTCACCCAGTAGGTTCTGCTGGTCCTGGTACAGCCGGGTCACCCTCTCCATCAGCTCCCACTTCTCACAGCAGCCTTTGTAGTTGACAAAGTTCCTGGCGAGGATTTCCTTCAGCTGGCGGACGCTGAGAACCTCAATGTCTTCCACACAGCTCAGGTCAGACAGAGATGCCCTGCGACCCGAAACCGGGGCCTCCTCCGGGTCCCAGGTCTGAACCAGACGGACAAGAGACTGAATCAGTCTCAGGAAACCAGACACAAGGACAAGGTCCCGACTCAAGAGACCATGACTGTAAAGATACTGTACATTTACAGGATCAGTTCCAGGTCCAGGACCCCTGGTCTGGTCTTACCTGGTCTTCGTCCTGAACATCGGGTTCAGTGGGGGCGGTCTCTGTGGGTGGGGCTTCAGGCTGTGCAGCTGGGGGTTCAGGGGTCGGGGCAGGGGGGGCAGGAGTCGAGGTGTGAGGGGTCAAGTCAGGTGAGTCAAAGGTCATGGACACAGGGTCAGGGGTCAAGGTCTCAGGGGCGGAGTCACTGGATGGTGAAGACTGCTGACTGAGGACCAGCTCCACCAGTTCCTCCTGAAGAACAGGAAACAATGGTTTAACTGGGGGGCGGGGCTTAAAAGTGACAGGTAGGAGACATTTGTTTTTAAGTAAACTGTTTATGCTCGCCAGGAGACAGCCTGGTGGTTGAAGGTCAAAGTTCACTGTGACCTCACACCACATGCGTTTGACCATAGCTCATGAATCTATTCACTAACTATGACATCATTTCCCACCTTCTCTCTGCACAGGTGGGTGGAGACCTCGTGCAGGTGCAGGTAGTCCCGGAGCTCCTTCACTTTCAGCTTCATGAGCTCCGCCCGCTCCAGCAGGTTGCCATAGAAACGCTGACAGGTGTGACAGAGACGGGGGCGGGGCTCCAGCTGTGCGGAGCAGCGGCTGCAGTAGTCCTTCTTACAGTCCACACACACATGCTGACAGACAGACGGACAGACAGAGAGACACTGTAACACACAGTGTGGACTGACTCTGACCCAACAGACTGCAGCAGGTGGGCGGGGTTACCTTCTTTGCAGGTGTGTCCAAGTGCCCCCCGCACGCCTTACAGGTGTGTTCAGGTGCAGGAGGAGACGGCTGACTGTTGAAGCCCGAGTTAGTGTAGGACTGATGACGTCGCTCAGCTCCAGCAGACTGCTCAGTGTCATCACCAGCGTCCATACACAACCAGTTACAGCAGGACGCAAACATACCTGAGTATACACACAGAGACACACACTGTAGTTTAGTTTAGTTTATTTGGATGGGGACAGTGCACATTAATGAACACTGATCAGACATCTCTGTAAACATGCCGGATTGTAGCAAAGCTGCTAATTTGCATCTGTAGTCCCGAATACATAAACAGAAAGAATACAAATGGAGGAGACAACAGACACAAGACAAATCATTATACAAACAACAATAACAACAACAACACTGTTCAAAAAACTGAATGGAACAATTAAAGGTCACAGTCTAACAGGGAGTCAGTTAAACTTCAGGGAGATCAATCCAGTGATTGTGAATCAGCTTCAGCTGCTCCACAGACAGCTGCTCTCTCCTTATCCTTCCTCACTGAATCTTCACTAGTTTAGTCTTCTGCTAGTGTCCTTGTCACTACTGGTAGCATGAGGCGGCACCTGCAGCCCAGTCAGGTTGATACCAGATACCAGGAGACCGGCCATTACACCAGGAGAGCTGAACAGGGCCGTAGAAGGGCATCAACACAGCAGCAGGACCGCTATCTGCTCATTTGTGTGAGGAGGAACAGGAGGAGCACTGCCAGAGCCCTACAACATGACCTCCAGCAGGCTACTGGTGTGCATGTTTCTGACCACACTGTCAGAAACAGACTCCATGAGGGTGGCATGAGGGCCCCACGTCCTCTAGTGGGACCTGTGCTCACAGCCCAGCACCATGCAGCTCCATCATTCACCAGAGAACACCAGGACTGGCAGGTCCACCACTGGTGCCCACCATATATTAGATTATACTATACTACTATATATCAGATTATATAAATACTGGATTTGACAAAAAAAAGCCTCAGTTTTTCACTCTTGTTGCGCAAACAGTTTATTTTTTAGCTAATTTTAAAAGAGATGTAGAATAAAGTGATTTTGGTGGAATATCACAATTTTAAACTCAGATTTTTTTTAGACTTTTTCGTTCGTAGGCAAGTGTTTGTCACGCACGATGTGTCCAAGGACTGGTGGAAATTTGAAAATCTTTTGTTTTTACAGTTCCTGCCTGTGATCAAACAACTTTTTATGTCGGGGCTTCAGGACACTTGGATCACTACGGACGAGCAGTATGGAGATATTTTGTGGTTTCAGTTATGTGTTTTTGGACGTTTGAATCTGGGGCGCCGTCAGCCTCCATTAGGTGGAGTTGTGTTGCTACCTCCTCTCCCCTTGGATCTCTGCAAGTGTTGTGAGGACTCTAAAACTTCACCTGAGCCTCCCTCGGCATATGGGTGAGTAGATAATGGCTGAATTTTCATTTTTGGGTGCACTATCCCTTTAACATCTGGCCAGTGGACAACAGTTGAAAATGAGCATTTTGGCTGACACTGGCACAGTTAGTGATGTTGGCCACAATGCATTGTCCCTCAAAAAATAAAATATACTAAAAAAAAAAAGAAAAGAAAAAAAGCAAACAGCAAAAAGCTCATGTAGGCGCTCTGATGAGAGCCTCTGATCTGACTGCGTCCCAGCCTGAAGTATTTTTATCTGTTGGTACAGAGAACAGCTCACTGCTACGATCAGGTTACACAGCCATTAATAGTGTCAATTATTTAAACCTTTCAAAATGAAAGTAGATTGTTTCACTTTTGATATTAATCTCTGCAGGGAAAGTGAATCTCTTACAGGAAATCACAGGTCTGTTTACACTCTGACCATTGTTCTCTTTGTTACCTGACAAAGTTATTGTTATGGACAGTGTGTAAATAACCATCAACAGACTGCTGTTAGGCACAGACAAACACGGCACTGTTGGAGCGGAGCCAGTGTTGCGTTCAGGCGTTGTCACGTAAATAACAACTTCCAGCACTTAAATAGGTCATAGCACAAAACAGCAGCATGTCAAGTGACTTTATACTTTTATTATGTTCAATACAATTGTATGTTCCTAAATCTTGAGACACCTCATATGTAAGCTAGACANGGGCCCTGGGTTCCTCCTGGTGCAGTGGGCCCTGGGTTCCTCCTGGTGCAGAGGGCCCTGGGTTCCTCCTGGTCCTCTATGTGTCCAGAGTGTAGACAGTTCCTGGATGATGAAGGCATTGATGCCTCTGCCTGGCTGCCTCGTTCCCCGGACCTAAACCAGCAGCAGCTATGGGACGTTGTATTGTTGTACTGGTGCATCCGATGCCTCCGAGTCCCACCACAGACTGTCCAGGAGTTGACTGATGCCCTGATCCAGGTCTGGGATTTGTAGTTTAATTACTCTCCTTTAAGTAAGGAATCTGAATACTCTCCCACCACTGTCCTCTGAGCTGAGACCAGACCACACATTAATACCTGCTAATTCTGTGTTCCTCATCAGACACTTGTATCCTTTAATACTTTTTAGACAGAGTCGTATTTAGGAAGGTTTCTGATAAATTCGGCGTTATATTCACGAAGTAAAATCTGACCTCCTGAACAATCACTTAGTAAAACACATACACTGGGCAGCAAAGGCAAACTTTAAGCGGTGCTTTAAATTTAGCAACATGTTAATGGAGGTTTGCCCCATGACACGAAGGACCCGTTGTCAACCTACCGGGACTTTGTGTAAAGATATTTAACCACATGTTATTGCGCAGAATTTTGACTCTAAAGTACTTTAACACTTTTATACTGTTACAACCACTAAAAACGTGACTGGATTATTTTTCCACCACTACTGAGCGCACGCAGCCGAGCTTTAGCCAAACTACGTAGTAAAAACCAGCTTGTTTGTGTTTCTTTCCAGTTTTCAGACATCACTGGTGTAACTGACTCGACACAATGAACCAATGCACAGGAGGAAGATCTTCTGATAAATTCGGCGTCATATTTCGTGATGTTAAACTCTTATTTAATAAATAATCCGGTCCAGAGATGTGTGAGACAGATCTGCGTTGTTGCCATACGAAACTCATAGAAAGTAACTTCAAGACAAACAACGACAGACAACAAACTGAAGTTTCGGTTTCATGGAGGTAACTGTGGTGCTAACTCTGAGCCGAATGATTCAGTGTCTCTTGATATAACGGGACAAAACACAAGTTAACGATTTAACAGGATGATCCGTTACCGGTGAGTCAGGCTCCGTTAAATTCAACAGACTGTAAACGGAGTCTGGAGTGTGGAGTCTGGAAAGTACCCCGGCTGCTAACAGGCTAACGGCTAGGCTAACATGAAGCTAGTTAGTGAAGTTCACAGAAACTAACGAGTCAAACAAACACAAAAGGAGAGAGATGACGTCAGACAGAGCGGGTTAAACTAACCCGGGTTACAGTGTGAACAGGAGTTAACCAGCAGGATTATGGACTCACTGAAGCGTCTTACCTGGAAGCGACGGGGCTGCTACAGCTAGCAGGAAGCTAACTGACCGAGTTGTGACCGAGCTGCTGCTAAACTGACGCTCACGAGCTGCTTCAAAGCTCCAGCTGTTAGTTTGTCAACATGGTGACGATCTGCGGGCTGCTGTGACGTCAGACTGGAGGAATAAACAACAACAACAACTACAACAACAACAACTACAACAAGTGAAGACTGAGATAATAACAGAGAACTGAACCAGGAAGAGTTCAACCACACACACACACACACACACACACACACACACACACACACACACACACACACACAAGCGTCAGTTTTTATTGTCACCTATGAAACCTATAAAATAAACATCTCTGAACAGGAAACAGGAAGTAGTTTTTAAAAATAAAAACGTACTTTTTGTTTATTTTTTATGTTTACATCACAGGGCACCGTTTGCATTGTTGTAAGTAGTTTTCTGTTTGAACACTGGGGGGAGCATTAGCTCAGAAAAGGCTGCAGGTGATGAGCAGCAGGTGTGGAAGGGGAAGCACACAGCTTTTGACCGTGTCAGTATCAGAGTGGCGGCGTCTCAACAAACAAATTGATGAATGAAACTTACCTGAGTTTTACCTGAGTTTTACCTGTGCTAAGGTGAGCATAAAAAGAGAGCAAATAAATGGGTCACTGCACTTAAAGACAACTCAGTATTGGACAATGATTTATTGTTTTTGCCCAGAACACACGTCCAAAAAAGTTCTCCCCGTTCACCCCTCAGTGACTCATGAATATATTCGTTTTTATTGGAAAGACTCTACAGTCCTCATGTGAGGACACGTGGGGTCAAAGGTTACAGTGTGGACAAACTACATTTTATATGATGGGAAAAAGTCCCAACATCCTCAAACCAGACGATTCTAAAGTCCCAACGTCCTCAAACCAGACAATTCTAAAGTCTCAACGTCCTCAAACCAGACAATTCTAAAGTCTCAACGTCCTCAAACCAGACGATAATAAAGTCCCAACGTCCTCAAACCAGACGACAATAAAGTCCCAACGTCCTCAAACCAGACGATAATAAAGTCCCAACGTCCTCAAACCAGACGACAATAAAGTCTCAACGTCCTCAAACCAGACGATAATAAAGTCCCAACGTCCTCAAACAAGACGATACTAAAGTCCCAACGTCCTCAAACAAGACGATAATAAAGTCCCAACGTCCTCAAACAAGACGATAATAAAGTCCCAACGTCCTCAAACAAGACGATAATAAAGTCCCAACGTCCTCAAACAAGACGATAATAAAGTCCCAACGTCCTCAAACAAGACGATAATAAAGTCCCAACGTCCTCAAACAAGACGATAATAAAGTCCCAACGTCCTCAAACAAGACGATAATAAAGTCCCAACGTCCTCAAACAAGACGATAATAAAGTCCCAACGTCCTCAAACAAGACGATAATAAAGTCCCAACGTCCTCAAACAAGACGATAATAAAGTCCCAACGTCCTCAAACAAGACGATAATAAAGTCCCAACGTCCTCAAACAAGACGATAATAAAGTCCCAACGTCCTCAAACAAGACGATAATAAAGTCCCAACGTCCTCAAACAAGACGATAATAAAGTCCCAACGTCCTCAAACAAGACGATAATAAAGTCCCAACGTCCTCAAACAAGACGATAATAAAGTCCCAACGTCCTCAAACAAGACGATAATAAAGTCCCAACGTCCTCAAACAAGACGATAATAAAGTCCCAACGTCCTCAAACAAGACGATAATAAAGTCCCAACGTCCTCAAACAAGACGATAATAAAGTCCCAACGTCCTCAAACAAGACGATAATAAAGTCCCAACGTCCTCAAACAAGACGATAATAAAGTCCCAACGTCCTCAAACAAGACGATAATAAAGTCCCAACGTCCTCAAACAAGACGATAATAAAGTCCCAACGTCCTCAAACAAGACGATAATAAAGTCCCAACGTCCTCAAACAAGACGATAATAAAGTCCCAACGTCCTCAAACAAGACGATAATAAAGTCCCAACGTCCTCAAACAAGACGATAATAAAGTCCCAACGTCCTCAAACAAGACGATAATAAAGTCCCAACGTCCTCAAACAAGACGATAATAAAGTCCCAACGTCCTCAAACAAGACGATAATAAAGTCCCAACGTCCTCAAACAAGACGATAATAAAGTCCCAACGTCCTCAAACAAGACGATAATAAAGTCCCAACGTCCTCAAACAAGACGATAATAAAGTCCCAACGTCCTCAAACAAGACGATAATAAAGTCCCAACGTCCTCAAACAAGACGATAATAAAGTCCCAACGTCCTCAAACAAGACGATAATAAAGTCCCAACGTCCTCAAACAAGACGATAATAAAGTCCCAACGTCCTCAAACAAGACGATAATAAAGTCCCAACGTCCTCAAACAAGACGATAATAAAGTCCCAACGTCCTCAAACAAGACGATAATAAAGTCCCAACGTCCTCAAACAAGACGATAATAAAGTCCCAACGTCCTCAAACAAGACGATAATAAAGTCCCAACGTCCTCAAACAAGACGATAATAAAGTCCCAACGTCCTCAAACAAGACGATAATAAAGTCCCAACGTCCTCAAACAAGACGATAATAAAGTCCCAACGTCCTCAAACAAGACGATAATAAAGTCCCAACGTCCTCAAACAAGACGATAATAAAGTCCCAACGTCCTCAAACAAGACGATAATAAAGTCCCAACGTCCTCAAACAAGACGATAATAAAGTCCCAACGTCCTCAAACAAGACGATAATAAAGTCCCAACGTCCTCAAACAAGACGATAATAAAGTCCCAACGTCCTCAAACAAGACGATAATAAAGTCCCAACGTCCTCAAACAAGACGATAATAAAGTCCCAACGTCCTCAAACAAGACGATAATAAAGTCCCAACGTCCTCAAACAAGACGATAATAAAGTCCCAACGTCCTCAAACAAGACGATAATAAAGTCCCAACGTCCTCAAACAAGACGATAATAAAGTCCCAACGTCCTCAAACAAGACGATACTAAAGTCCCAACGTCCTCAAACAAGACGATAATAAAGTCCCAACGTCCTCAAACCAGACAATACTAAAGTCCCAACGTCCTCAGACGAGACAATAATAAAGTCCCAACGTCCTCAGACGAGACGATAATAAAGTCCCAACGTCCTCAAACCAGACGATAATAAAGTCCCAACGTCCTCAAACCAGACGACAATAAAGTCCCAACGTCCTCAGACGAGACGACAATAAAGTCCCAACGTCCTCAAACCAGACGACAATAAAGTCCCAACGTCCTCAGACGAGACGACAATAAAGTCCCAACGTCCTCAAACCAGACAATACTAAAGTTCTAATGTCTTCACAAGATACAATAATAAATATTACCCAAAAAACTTTTGAACCATAAACTATGATCAGGTTTTGGGCTTTGTCCACTTTTGTCACGGGATCAGTTGCAGACTGACTCGGTTGAGCTGGCGGCCATCTTGTTTTTACATGGATCAGTGTATTGTGGTCTCACTACCATTGGATGGGACAGAAAGTGTGCACAAATGATGGACAACGGGTATGAGTGAAGCAGAATGAAGTTTTGGGAGCAGAAGACACAAAATGTAACGTCATCATGAGGACTCACAGGAGAGTAAATAAAGTGTGAAATACATCTGAACACTTAATATTTCATATTTTACCTTGAAAACTTATTTGAATTCTTTAAAACTAAAATTATAAACTTTGTTCACAGTCAGAGCTTCTTCAACAACAAAAGTCCGATCAGTGAGGTTGACTATCACCAGCAGCTCAGATGTTCAACTGGAACGTTAAATTCAACATTTTGTGCAGACACTGATCATTAAATGATCCTGACGCCACCATGTGGACAAACACTAGAATAAGGTTTTAAATCTGCCCGTCTCCAGAAGAACATGTTGTACGTTTCTGCAAACTACCGACACATTACATTTGTATGTTTCATATGGGTCATCTTGATGTGCTGTAGTATCAGGGCTGACTGTCATCAGGAGGTGGAGGAGAGGGTGGATGGTGTGATACCGAGGAAAGATACCTGCCGAACTGCAGACCACTGTTCAACACCAATAAAAACCAGTTTAGCGATAACATCGCTGTTTCCTGTCAAGATGGTGCCATGGAAAGTGGTTGTTTTATATCACGTCGTCGCTGCGTTAATCATGTCGTCGCTGCGTTAATCATGTCGTCGCTGCGTTTCCTGTGGGGCTAGTGCCACAAAAGTGGTGGTTTTTGATCATGCCATCGCTGCGTTAATCACGTCGTCGCTGTGTTTCCTGTCGGGATAGTGCCATGCAAAGTTTTTTTAATCACGACGTTGCTGTGTTTCCTGTCCGGATAGCGCCACTAAAACTGGTTGTTTGTCCTGAAATGTCGCTGCGTTTCCTGTCGGGATAGTGCCACTTAAAATGGTTGTCTTTAATCACGTCATCACTGCGTTTCCTGTCGCGATAGTGCCACGACAAGTGGTTGTCTTTAATCACATTGTTGCTGCATTTCCTGTCACGATAGTGTCACGACAAGTGGTTGTCTTTAATCACATTGTTGCTGCATTTCCTGTCATGATAGTGTCACGAAAAGTGGTTGGCTTTAATCACGTCATCACTGCGTTTCCTGTCGCGATAGTGCTTTAAGCTCCTGCCTTTCTTGTGCATAAACTTAAACACGTTAACCATTATTCAAACGTTTTCAAGGTATCTACTACTAATAATAATATAATAATAATAATAATAATAATAATAATATAATCTGTTCTGTAATAATCTGGGGGTTCTGTTTGTTATGAGAACATGAATCGGGGGGGAGCTTTAAGGACAGAGATGTGATTGTCAGAAGGGAATAAATGTGATTTAAAGAACTAAACAAAAAGCTCTTTGTTGTGGTTCTGTCAGCGAACATTTCTCAGAGTTATTCAGTGACGTTAAATACTGAAGGAGACATAAAGTTTGTTCGACACAGACAGAGAGGCAGAAACAGAACAAGCTTTATTCTTTATTTTTTCATTTGGAAGAAAAAATAAAAATCAAACCGACTTGACTCGACCCCCCCACCACCCTGAAATTAAACACATTCTAGTTGAAGTACGGTGATGAGAGTTTTATTGCCATAAACAGTGTAGGAAAAAAAATGAACAAAAAGAAAAAGTTAAACAGCCGTTTTTTATTCTATGATACAGTAAAGCAAATGTCAGGGAGAACAAACAAAGTGTTTCATCAGCGACACAAACTTTGTCAAAGCGACGCAGACGGAAACCGACCACCGAGTGAAGGGTTAAATCCTGTTCACCTGATATCCAGCCTGATCCACACGCACCTGAAAACATTCACCTGGACCACGTCTGCTGTCTCCGCCTCCGTCTGTGGCAGCAGCTTCGAGACAGGAAAATTAAGGAATGCAAAAAAAAAAAAATAAAAAATAAAATAATATGTTTTAACTACAAACCGAAGCTCGATCTAATCGTTTGGACTCTATCAATTTTTTATTTTTATTTTTTTTTTTTTACAAAACTTTATCGGTGGGGGTCGGCTTCAAGAGACGTACACTGAAACAACAACAACAGCACGAAACACCTTTAAACTTCTTCTGTCCTGCTGGTGACGACGTGTTAGCGCCACCTTCTGGTCGGGGAGGGGGGCAGGGGGTGTATGGGGCTGCTGAGTTAAATGAGTCAGTGCTGCAATCAAAGACAGAGGAAGAGGAACAAGGGGGGGAGATGAAGAAAAAAGGGAGCAAAAGGGAGGGAAAAATAAAATTAAGGATAACAGGGAAAAAGAAAACATTTCTATGACTTGTCGTTTAATATTTTATGACTTATTCTGCCACATTCTTTCATTCCTTCCTTCCATGAACACTGTTTTTCTATCGGGATGGGGAAACACACAGAAAAGAAAATGAAATGTTTTTCTTTCTTTTCTTTATTTCTGGTTTCTTCACTTCTTTCATGTGTTGTCTTTAAAATGTGTTTCTAAAGTGTTAGCGCCACCATCTGTTAGTGAGATCAGAAATATAAGAATGGAAAAAAGGGCAAAGAAAAGAGATCAAAAAGTTATTTCAGAATAAAAAAGAAAAAATGTAAGAAAGAAATGCTGGTTCCCTGTTTTCTTTGTCCCTGTTTCTTCTTTCCTCCCATGAACCCTGATTTTCTTTCCTAAATGTTTTATGAATTTCTGTTCGGTCATCAAACACTTGTCTTCATCCCTGATTTCATCTTCTTTCTTCTTCTTTAAACTCTTGTTTTTGTCTCTACAATGAAGAGAAAAAGAACCATTTTTGCCTGATTTTTCTTTTTTTCTTGTTAAATTAGTATTTACTCTTCTTTCCTTCCATGCATGATTTTCTTTCCTAAATTATTTTGAATTTCTGTTTGGTCGCCAAACACTTACCTTTATCGTAAAAGAGACAAAAACATTAATTGAAAGAAGAAGAAACAAAATAATATCAGGGATGGAAGATAACATTTTTTACTGTTTTCTTTTTCCCTTGTTTTTTGATCATTTCTTCTTTGCTTCCATGAACCCAATTTTTTTTCTCAGCATTTCTGTTCAGTCGTCGAACACTTGTCTTCATCGTACAGATAAAATCAGTAGTTTAAAGAAGAAGGAAGAAAAAGGAAACGGATGAAAAGGAAAAGTACCATTTTATCCCCTATTTTCTTTTTCCTTTGCTAATTTTTCTTTCTTAGATTTTTTAATTTCTGTTAGGTTGTCAAACATTTGTCTTCATCGTAGAAACATTTTTTAAAAAAGTAGTTTATAGAGTAAGACAGACAATGAAGTCAGAGATGAAAGAGAAAAAGAAAAGAAGGAGCTCCAGTTCAGGTGAAGTTTTCAGTGTGGATCAACGGACCAATCAGAGATATTGTCTTATGTTTAAATCTGATTGGGTGGGAAAACGACAAATGCGCCATCGCATCATCAGGAAACATGTAACATACTCTGCTTTGGCCCGAGACAACCAATCAGAGGAGCCTTAACTGTAGGCCACGCCCCTCTTGTGTTGTGTTCAGGTTGTGGGACACAATTCCCTGATTGTAGTTTGTTTCTGTTTCCAGGAGCACAAACGATAAAAACAGATTCTGTTGTTTGTGTTTTTGGTCAATGTTTGATTATCGACAATAAATCGTTTCCAGCAGAGTCAGTTTTCTGTTAGGAAATCACTTTTTCCCTTTTTCTTCACGTGACCTGAACGTAGTGAACGCAGTTTTCACCTACGGAGGCGTCGAGCAGCAGTGCATCATGGGAACAGAAATCTCAACATCAGCGTTTTTTTATCTTTAAAAACTTTTCCATCAGGTGCTGCAGGTATTGGTGGGGGGCGGAGCTTGTAGAGAGCTGTAAATCTGTCCTAACGCAGATGAAACCCCGCCCACACACAAGGACATGCAGAATAAAACCGACAAACACAAAGCGGGGCAAAAATATGAAACGTGACTTTTGATCAAAAGCTGTAAAATCTGACTGATGAGTCACCAAAGCAACGAGCAATGACAAAGACAGAACGAAAAAAAAAGTTTGTCCAATTTAACCAATCAGGGTGAGGGGGCGTGGCTTCAGCTGGATGACTACAAAACACAAACAAAATGACTTGACAGGTTTTGAGCTCTGGGCCTCTTTCTCTTGGGGTAAATGGCGTGCGATCTTTGACCTGGCGGCAGAGGAGCAGGGGGCGGGGCAACAGGACAAAGCAGCTATGACATCACAGTAAGCTGACATGTTGGGGGGCGGGGGAGGGGGGGGGGCAGAGAAACCCAAAGTTCGGACATGCATTCACAAGCTGCTCGTTGTGTTTGTGTTTACAGGGTTATTATTCGTCAGTGTCAGAGTGTGTTCGTCTTTATTCCGACTAAGAATAAATATTCTGCTCAAACTGAACTCAAACAGGAAGAAGAAGAAGAGGCGGAAGAAGAGGAAGAAGAAAAAGAACAAGAAGAAGAAGAAGAAGAAGGGGAAGAAGAGGAGGGCGGCGTCCACTCGCTGTCTGTCAGGAAGGAATGCTAACTGTGGCGTTTAAACTCATCCCGTTGGTGTTTCTTTATCTTTGTTAAAGTTCTCTATCTGTTCACCCCCCCCCCCCCCCCCCCCCCCCCCCCCCCCCCCCCCCCCCCCCCCCCCCCCCCCCCCCCCCCCCCCCCCCCCCCCCCCCCCCCCCCCCCCCCCCCCCCCCCCCCNCCCTCTGGCCCTCATGGCCTTCAGTCTCTTAAGGTTTGTCTCTGGGGATCACCTCCTCTCGCGGCCTGGCTCCGCCGAAGATGGCAGAGTTTGGGTTGGCGACCTGGTTGAGCGGCTCAGTTACGGTCCGAGGCTTCAGCTGCAGCCGAGGCCGCTGTGCACGCTCCTCTGTAAACAAACAAACAAACAAAAGAAGTCTTTACCCACTGAAAGGATTAAAGTCGTCATGTTAGCCAAAGAGCCCTGACTGTCAACAACTGAGCTGACTTACAAAAATAAAAAATAAATAAAAATAAAAATCAAGAGTCACTAATCACTGTTTTAAGATTCACCCAACAAAATCACCAATTTTTTTTTAAGAATCGCCAGATTAAATTTGTGATTTCATGTTCACTTGACGAAATCACTAATTTAAAAATTAACTGGACTAAATCAGATTCAAAAATCAGGTGAATCAATTACAGATTAAAGAATTGCGTGATTTATTCACTAATTTAACAATCTTTCGCCCTAAACATCAAATTAGCAATTGCCTTTGTGATTTAACAATCACCTGACCAAATCACTGATTTGAGATCCATGTGACTAAATCACCGATCTAAGAACCATGTGACTAAATCACCGATCTAAGAACCATGTGACCAAATCACTGATCTAAGAACCATGTGACTAAATCACTGATCTAAGAATCACGTGACTAAATCACCGATCTAAGAATCACGTGACTAAATCACCGATCTAAGAATCACGTGACTAAATCACCGATCTAAGAATCATGTGACTAAATCACCGATCTAAGAACCATGTGACTAAATCACTGATCTAAGAACCATGTGAC